CCCCAAAACCCCAAAACCCCAAAACCCCAAAACCCCTTTTAAGTTATTTAAAATAGAATTATAACTGAAAATTTTCCATTTTCTCAGACTTTGAAGAAACTGTAGATTTTTGATATTTTGATGACTTGAACTGGAGATATTGAAGGTAAAGCTCAGTACCTTCTTGTGGAGAATTTAATGTTTGTTCAGGTTTGTTTACATATCATTCATTTATCATATTTCGACTAAATTCACTAATTCAAACCACATTCCCAAAAACCCACCCCAAACCACCCTCCAAAACCTACATTTCACTCCCTTGTACCGGCCTGTTCTTCTTCATATACTCATTATTCACCCTATCCGACCTCGGTATCTTCCTTCCATCCCTTCCTTGACCCAATTTCTCAGCCTAAACTCCATTAATCCCACTCAAAATTCCAAAATTCCCAAAATTCCACAATTAACTAAACTCACATTTGCACCATAAATTCCTTGCCTTATGCTAACCTCAGAAAGTTTTGCAGCCGGTGCTAAATTTAAATGAACAGGATATGTACATTTTCTGCTGAGATGGAGGACTTTTTTGTTCTGAAGGGTTCCTGGAGGGGTGAACAGGAGCTTACTTTTGAGGGTTTTTAGGTTGTTTGGGTGTTGTTTTGGATTTTTGAGGGGGTTTTGAGCAGGAATGGGTGGTTTTGGGTGTTTTAAGGGGCGTTTAAGTGTCTTAGGTGTGGTTTTAGCATTTTTAGGGATGAGTTGTTCTTTTAGGAGGGTGGTGATTGATTTTTATAGTGGAGATAGCGGTGTTATTTTGGAATTTCTCTGCCTTCGATAGAGGAAGCTCTTGGTGTGGTAAATTCAGAGCCTACTATTACTTGGTTTATTTTTTTTAAGGTATCATTATTTTCATCGAAAATTTCTGTTTCTTTAAGAATGGCAGAGCCGCCTTCACTTCTCCCAATTGGTGTCCACTCTCTATGTACACTTTTCTTTCCCATGCTATTTTTCTTTTGAATTACTATATTTTAAGCTTTTTGAGAATGATACTGGGAATTAAAAGATTTTTTAAGAAAATATTTTGTAAGCTTTGGCATAAACTGACCTAATAATTTACAAAAGAATGGTCAATAAAAACATGGAATTTTATCATCCTGGTGATTTAACGTTCAAACTTACTGTTTATTGGCATCCAACCTGCGTCCATGGCCTTTGCTCCTTTCTTCTTCGCTGTGATTTTGGTCAGCCTCGGTAACTGAGTTTTAGCCTACATGTCATCAAGCCAAATACCAGACTGTGTTCTTTCTGGGACTTCTTGAAACTCAGCAACGCCAGGTTCTGCTTGCTGTACCTACCTTTGAAGTCAAGTTCAGCCTGACTTCAGACTTTGTCTTTGACTCCACAGACCAGCCGCTTCGGTAGTGAGTATTTGTTGACCACATAGGTGTCTTCAGTCTGAGAGAGTTCGTTCGGCCGTGTGTTGAGCCCTCCGATGTGTTCGAAGGTACCTTCACAAGCCATGCTTTTCATCGACTTCGTTGCGAAGCTGTCACCGATGCGCTTCAGAGTAATGTTGAACATGTTAGTTTCTGTGCTTGTTCTTTCTACACATGAGCAATGAAATACCTGGGCTGACGGAGGCATCTCATTCTGCTTCCATTCTTGAGTTTGACTATTGCGAGTCCGCCTTTCCTCTTGGGCATTTCGAACTTGCCATTGTAAAACCCATGTGTGATCTGGTGACTGGTGAGTGAGGTTTGAGTGGAGTCTAAACTTGAATTGTTGAAATACTTCATTGTCTGCAGCCATTTGTTCTTGCTCTGTATTGACTTTAACCTGACTCGAATTTACAATCCCATCATGATCTGAGTGTGAAATGCTGGTTATATGGCCGCTATTGTCTGGAACTGGGCTGTCTAGTGCGACTGTTCATGCTTGAAATACCCGTTCAATATTTTTCACCTCTGAAATTGCACACGCACTCACAACGCTAGGTGGAAGGGAAGTGAACCAGTAGACTCTGCATTGCTTTGTGTAGACGTTGGAGAGCCCTTGGAAGTCGCGATCTTTGTCACATTTGACTTTAAGAATTCTTTCCATGTTATGGCTGGTTGTGTCAAATATTTTACTAATTTTATTCAATAATATATATAATTAAGGGGTTTTGGGGTTTTGGGGTTTTGGGGTTTTGGGGTTTTGGGGTTTTGGGG